AAATAAGGACTTAAAACCAAAAAAAAGTAATTTTCTGTTTTGTTTTATTCTTGGATCGGGCTTTAAAGGGTTAAATATGATTTCCCTATGACTTTAAAAAAGCTCATCAAGCTAATATTAAAAGCCGGTCTGTTCCAGAAACTCTTCTAGAATCACAAAGAAGAGTTATTCATAAAGAGAAGAACATTATGGACATCAGTCGATAAACAACATCAGAGCGTCTTCAGTCAGAGGCTTCCACAGATCTACTGATACACAGAACTCTACAGAATATCCGTCCTGCTTACAGCTTTCAACACAAACTACTCATAAAAATCCCTGAGTTATTATAACGTATCATTTGCTTTAGGGATAAAAAACCTATTTTGTAATGAGTTCAACGGATTCAAAGAATGGAAGCAAATTGGTTTGGAAAACCCAAATCCTGCCTCTGGTTCTGGATGGACTGGAGATCTCAGAACCAGCAGAACCAGCAGGTTCTATTGTGGTCGGCCAGTTTGATGCTTTAAGACTCTTAGAGAATCGGATCATGAGTCTTTGGAGCAGGAGTCCAAACCTAAACACAGGCTTACTGCTGAACCCAGAGATTAGACAGAGCCCTTCACCTTTCAGGGCGTCCTCCCCCAGCAGCGCCCCCCTCTGGCCAGAGTCCAGCTGGTGGCGTCCTCCCTGCTGGGGCTCTTCTTTGACCATGTGACCCCTGGAGGTCTTCAGAGCCTCAGCGAGCGCCGGACTGACTCCAGACAGTCTGGAGACGATGACTTGTGGACGGAAATAATGGACAGGGCGGTAATCTCTGGGCAGAATGGGAGGAGGGAAGATCTGCAGGAGCAGAGAGGAGTCAGCGGGGAGTTTCCTCCAGAAACAGAAAGCTTCTCAGCTGCAGACTCACCGTTTTCTCCTCCAGAGGTTTCTGGGCCAGAGTGAACCCCTCCAGGATTTTCCCCAGGTACGAAGCGTCTCTGCTTCTGTCTGAAAACATTCAGACAAACATGAACGTAATTCCAGCCGGACGCCCTTCAGACGCTCCCAGGACTGTCCGGGTTTTACCTTTCTGCTTGGTGTACTGCTGCGGAGCCGTCCAGCCGTACAGACCGTCTCCAGGCTCCTCGTCTTTCAGAACGGTGTCATATCTCGACATGGAGTCTCTGTGGTAGACATCCTCGTCCTCGTCCTCCAGCGCCCCCACGCCAAACGCCTGCAGGTCAAAGCTCAGGTCAACCAACACCCAGACCTCCATCATTCCGACCCCCTAAAGGAGCTGAAGCCCACCTGACCGGCGACCCCTCCTCTCCTGGAGCTTCTCTGCCGGTCCCCGAACAGCCGACTCCTGGTCTCTGACTGAGGCTTGAACAGGTCCACATGCTCGTCCGTGACTCGCCCCAGCAGGGCCAGACCTGGGTCCAGACCGCGGTACCCCAGACCCTGAACCCCCAGCCTCGGGGTGAAGTCCACCGGAGTCACATCCTTTGGAGCAAAGGTAACATTCTCTGGGGCAAACTCTTCATCGTCCTCCTGAGCAGAAGCAAACAGACAGATCTTCAGGAGGAGAAGCGGCTCCAGTAACACCTTCAGACCCTTCACAACCTCTAAAGGTTTTACTTCAGGAAGCTCTTCAGAAAGTCTGGTATAACCCGCAATTAGTCAATCAATCAAGACTTTTATTTTTGCGGGCCCACTTCCTGTTTTGCCCAAACTTCTCAACTTATTTAAAGCCCCGCCTCCAGCCAGGTTAAACTACATCACCTGTTCCACTGTGATTGTGGCTGGCTGTTGGCGTCCTGCTGAACATTTCACCC